AGTAGAAATTATAGTTGTAGCAGTGGTGGTGGTGGTGGCAATGGTAGTTGTGATGGTGGTAGTAGTAGTGGTGGTTGTGGTGGTAGTAGCTGCAATAGCAGTAGCAGCAGTAGCAGTTATAGTAATTGTAGCAATAGTAGTTGTAGAAGTAGAAGTAGTGGCAGAAGTAGTAGTAGTAGTAGTAGTAGTAGTAGTGGCACAAGTAGTAGTAGTAGTAGTAGTTGTTGTAGTAGTTGTAGTAATAGTAATAGTAGTTTTAGTAGTAGTAGTAGTAGTAGTAGTAGTAGTAGTAGTAGTAGTAGTGGACAGTTGTTGTAGCTGTAGATATGGAAGATGAAGTTGTAGTAGCAGTCGTAGCTGCAGAAACAAGTCGTGCTTACACTTCCAACCTGACTGGATGTTATTCAAACTTCGAGTTAGTGAGTGAGTTGAGTTTAACGTAACTTTGCGGCGTGTCACGTTATGTGAGAGGACAGCCAGCCAAGTCATGCAGTTTATTATGCAAACTATAGTAAATTCAAAACGTCGACGCCAGAGAACATCTCGATTTTCCACCGGAACAAATCCCTTTGGGCACAAAACGCAAAACGGAGATGAATATTATATGAATGGATCACTGAAAATCAGTGATGACACCAGGTATTCGCAAAATGGGTATCGGGAACGCACGTTTTTTAAGCCCTGGCATAAACTGCGATTTTTGATTATTTCCATTGATGAACAATAGTCCAGGGTTTAAAATATGAATAAGGACAAGAACAAGACATGAAGAATGAATATCCCACATTTATTGAAACAATACTCACAACTAGGTATGAGAAAACATCAGTTTAATATAAGAACTGATTTTCTGTTTCAAATTGAAAATTATGAGTCAAGAACACCTTTGACATTGAAATGACAGCTGTTCAAAAGAGTGAAAATGTGCAGATCTGGTAAGCATGTCTCGCTGTACCGGTAGCACGTAACATTTGATTTATTGTGTACGTTATTATAAAGGTTTATGATTGGTTGTCAAGTGCGACTTCTAAGCAAGGTAGAGTGACATCCTGCACATGACTCACGGGTTGCTTTTATTACACCTGCAACCACTGGTGAGACGGCCAAGGTCACCTCAAACAACGTAATATGCTAATGAGTGAGTGAGTATGGTTTTACGCCGCTTTTAGCAATATTCCAGCAATATCACGGCGGGGGACACCAGAAATGGGCTTCACACTTTGTACCCATGTCGGGAATCGAACCCGGGTCTTTGGCGTGACGAGCGAACGCTTTAACCACTAGGCTACCCGACCGCCCCACGATGCTAATGAAACAATGGCGACGACTAGCGAAATACTATAACATATTTATTAATGTTGAGCTACTGCTTGGATCATGGCATTGTCATATATATACGTTATGTTTCCACGATACACATCGTACAATACACTAGTGTTGCCATGGCAACATATATACTGACATTACGGGTTTGTTTTGATAACACGTGTGAGTGAGTTGGGTTTAACGCCGCTTTTAACAGTATTCCAGTTATAACATGGTGTGTCAGCCTAATGTGGGAGGAAAAGCCCGAAGTGATGCAGGTCTCAGACGTTTACCACTTCGGTGAAACCCACGAGCACAGGTATGGTGCTGACAAACCTAGAAACATAATCGGGGCGAACCGGGATTCGAACCCACAATCATAGGTTTCTGGCGTGCCCAAGGGACGCAACTCTGCACAGCGAATCGCGGCGCCTTAGACGACTGGGCCACCCGTGCCCACGATGACACGTATGAGTGTTGCCATGGAAACATATACTGATATAAGAGAGGTGTGTGTGTAGTCATGAAACATATACATTGATGATATCTGTTTTTATTTGTTTGTTATTTACCGCCGTGACTTAACAGTGTTGTACAAGTGCAGTGACACTAAGACCATGGATGTGTGCTTGCCCTAGTAGCTCAATGATGAAGAATCTGAACAGAATGTGAAGGAGTGAGTAGGGTTTTACCCCTCCTTTTAGCTTTACTCCAGCAATAACACCATAATGGGCGTCAGACATTGGACCCCGTGGGGAATCGAACCATGGACTTCGGTGTAGGGAGACACGCTTTAACAACTTCACCACCCAACCCCCAGAATATAAATGGCAAACTTGGACGATGTTGTACTTACAGCATTTCCTCAAGAAAACTACGAAACACGCTTCATGCATTACAAAATGAACTAATATGATTGTCACAGCTACCACCCGTAGACATGAACTATACACTGTAATCCTTACCCACATACACGTAAGCATGACCTGTATACCTGAAATAGTTACCCACGTGCATGTAAGCATGACCTATATACTGTAATCCTTACCCACGTGCATGGAAGCATGACCTATATACTGCAATCCTTACCCACATCTATATAAGTGTAGCAGGACGTGGTCTCATCCCATGGATGACATCCTTACCTTGTCAGCTTGCTGACGGGTTAACCTCTTTCATCATGTGGACAAGGCGTCCGGCCTCAGATTAGAAGGTCCGTGGTTCGAATCCCATCACAAGACTCGGAACTGTCATGGCCACTACATAAGCATGACCTGTATACCTGTAATTAGTACTTGTATACTGTAACTATTACCTGTGTACCTGTAATCAAGCTACAGCCAACATATCTAACATACCAGTCGTTTATACAGACCAGGCCGATGGACGCAGTCAGCGGGAACAATGAGCATTATTTCCATAAGCATCAATCGATATGCGGACTGAAAGCTACAACCCTGCTTATGTTTACTAAACACCTGCGAGTAATGACACCTCCATGTGGTGTTGGGGACATAATGCAACCGTCGCTAGATCGATCAGGCACCTGTACACACAGTTCTTGTCCCGACGGTTTCTGCGTATGCGTGGTCGCGTAAGTAAGTGCGGGAGTGCGCATTTAGGGTGGAGAGCTGAGAGAGGAAATGAGGGATTCGAACCCGGGCCTTCGGCGTGACGAGCGAACGCCTTAATCACCAGGCTACCCCACCGGCCATGAAAGTCAGTGAAGACTGATACTTAGGGGGACAAAGCATTAGGCGGAGAACGATCAGGTTCTCCAAAGATACAAAGATTTCAAACATAAAATTTAAAACTGAAAAAGAACTCACTCAAGGGTACAGGTGAGACGAGGTAAAATGGGGTATAATTGCACTTATATAGCGACGCGCATGCACGTGTGTGTGTGTGTGTGTGTGTGTGTGTGTGTGTGTGTGTGAGACTGCTTGTACTACTCCGAACTAATGCCGATTTCATAGTGCTAGTCCACTGAGATACCATGCCGCAGTTTAACATGACACCGAGCCGGCCGACCAGTTCTTTGTTTTTTGCCCTTTAACGCCGAGCGCCAGGCAGGGTAACACCAAGTACCATATTTTAACGTCTTTTGGTATGATGCGGGGGGGACGCTCTACCACTAGACCACGGAGGCGTTTCAAGGGTAGAGATGACATCACCCTTCACCAATGACCTTGAATGATGGGTCGCCATCTCAAATGGTAAATCTAATGTCAAATATTTCGCGTTTGAAACCCCGTATGTTGCAACACTATTTACAATAATAGTTAGGATTACATGCCACAGAACGGGTGTGCAACAGATACTGACATATATACTATATACAGACATATATACACACCTATCTCCTGTACTAGGTGCTGCCTACCTGTGTAAGGTAAGTCCACATGTACCCGGACACCCCGGGAAGACCCTGGGCCCTGTTCCACAAAGCGACCTTAGTGCTAAGTTGGTCGTAACTCCCATACTTTACCATAGGCTTACGATCAACGTAGCACTAAGATCCCTCTGTGGAACAGGGTCCTGGTAAGAATGGGTCTACAGCAACCCATGTCTCGCTGACTTGGTTGATGCAAGTCATTGCATTTGTTTTGTTTTGTTTTGTTTTAGTGTGTGTGTGTGTGTGTGTGTGTGTGTGTGTGTGTGTGTGTGTGTGTGTGCGTGCCTGCGTGTGTGCGTGTGTGTAACTGAACTGTACACACTTTCCCAATATATTTGACGTTCTCATATACTAGTACTTACAGAATCATACTCCAAATCAGTCGTTCCATGAACACAACTGTTGTTTTAGATTTCCTTCTCTCGAGAAATTTGTCAAGAGCTGTGATATCACTGAATAACGTCTGTACACACACCACACTGACTGCATTCCCCCCAATACCAATAGGTAAGTGTGTTCGTGGAAAATACATTACAGTATATTTACATTAATATACACATGCCCTTATGTAAGGAAATAATTCTCCAAACAACAAATACAGTAAACTAGTGTTTATAGTTAACTTTTCCCAATGCATACCACAAAAAATTATATTTATCAAAAGCTAATAAATTCCATGTACCGCATCGTATACGCCTGACAATGCGTGAGTGATGGTTCAACATTTTTCATCAAGAACATTTACGTCACACATATCCTCTGTATCATACAAGAGAGTATATCCCGTTGGCTTTTCTAAAACTGTCACCAGTTTTCCGAAACAAATATAAAAACCTTTCTCAAGCAACATGAAACTGCGTCAATATATATGTTGTTTGACTTCTTATATTATCTGTGTGCACGCCCAGATATAGGCGTCGCCCACACCAGTGCATGTCTGTTGCACCTTTTGTTGAAAAATTCAAAAGTAAACACGTCAATGTGCAGATTTCTAAACATTCTGCTATCCCAGACTGGGACGCCAAAGACAAAAAAAAGTCCTTATCTTTGAAATGAATGGGAACTGTGTAAAGAAAAAACGAACAAATTTCACCTGTACACTATCTGTACCAGATCTTTTATCATAGCGATAATATTCAGAGGTTATCTGCTTATAATTTGCATTTCATTAACTGATTTAATCTAAATGTGGATTTATAATTGTATAAATACGCGTTCATGAAGTCTTGTCAATGAAAAGGGACATTTTGATGTGGGAGGAGACGAGCAGACGATCGGAATGAACTACACATCGATCGCGCATTGATAACAGTTGAGTGCTGCGGCTTGGGCTATTTTTAGCGAATACCGGTTGAACATATCATCAGGTACGATAACTGTGCATGCCTGTCAGCAACTTGGTAGTACTGTCTCGTCAACAAGCTCGGAATATCAGGTAAATCTAACTCGTTTTTCTTGTGTTTCCACGACGTGAAATATTTTTGCACTGACACTTTCTCAATTTAAGCGTCTGCTTTCTTTTACGTGTCCGTTCGCTTGGCTGTCTAAACATGGCGGTTCATCAAAGAACCCAGGTGAGATGTTACCGTAATAATCCAGGTATACCGGTTCGGAACGCGAGTGTCGTCCCTGCGTTCGAGGCAAGCATTCAATCAACGATCTCACTAAATTGAATTAGCAAGTAAAAACTTCGAGGACAGTGTGAAAAATCTGTGACATGTTCCTTCCGTAGTGTTTCACTCCATCATTGAATTTTGAGACAGTGTGTCAGGTTGCTTTCAGTTGTGTATCGGATTGGATCCTGCCCTGATGCATCCACCGTGACCAATACAAGGCAACTATGTCTCTAATACGACCAAATATGTTAATGTCTAACGTCATACATTAATAAAATGATGCAATGTTTTCATCTGCCAAAATGCATGCAAATATATAATGAATATATAAGGGTTGAATTTAAGACAATTACAGTTTTGAAAGAATAAACAAGTTTCATATACCAATACGAATTTGACAGCCATTGTATTTTGTCATAAAAATAATTGTGGCATAGATGAGATTTATAATTAGCTTATGAAATCATGCTACAGTTATTTGGGTTGGATGTCAAATGAATGAAAGATAACGACTGCTGGGTGATAGTAATCTTGTGTTGGCAAAGGCATCCACACTGGATAGTGTAGTTAGCCTAGAGTGTAATAAAGGGCATGATTTAAATTTGAGACTTTGTCAAGACTATGTAACTAGGTAGATCATTGAGTGTTAGATTTAATGAGAGCATTAATATTTGGCTACCCCTGGAGTTAAGTGTTTTATTGGGCTTATTCAAACTTGCAGGGACCACCAATTGGCCCTATGAAGACTGCTCGATCATACAGGCTCATATGGGTGTGTTGGTTCATGTAAGATTGTTATATGGACCACATGGTTGTCATATATTCTTCATGAGTGTAGAAAGAGTTATGATGCCCTTGACGGCGATAATGGTAAAAAAAAGTCAGCTGACCTATTAACATGTGTGACAAATGAAAATAAATCCTGCTCAGAGAGTCTTGATGTCAAACCACCTGAGTTAAACTTTTTGCTGATCAGGCATATCTTATATTGAGCTCTGAAATGGTGAAGTATATCCATTTCTGTGTCAGTAATATGAAATAATTCCCTTGAAATATTACCTAGATAAAGCATATGTCAGCTTACTTGAAGTGAACACTTTCAAATAACTATGCTCATTTCATATTTGAATTGCGACTTTTGGTAAAGTCACTTTCCTCCGACCTATTTCTAACAAAGCATGTCTCTGGCAAATTTCAAGCCCATTGCCAGACATTGTGGTTATTACCATGCATGAAAATGTGACATTGTCTAGGTGGAAAGTAAACATTACCGATCATCATAGAATGGACAAAGTAGATTTTGAAATACTCACATGCTGAAACAGCCAGTTGGCCCGAACCCAGTGCCCTTTTAATACTGAAGAAATTTGTGATAAACTTGAAAAAAGTTTAATATTATGGAGTATTTGTGGCATATTTTTTCAAGGTCCAACGAATGTGCTGGTTCACGAGACAAAGGCAAGTAAATATCATCTGGACCAGTAATTTCTAACTTATGCTAGTCCCAATACGCATGTACTGGCTAGTGCAAAATAGGAATGTTAGGCTAAAAAAGAATAATAGTCTTGGTTCTCAGGCACTGCCCACATCATCATTAAGTTCATTGCACATTTCGTTTTTGTTTCCATTTTCAATTTTTTTTGTGCATTGTGTTTAAGTATTAGCTTTTTGATATTTAAAAAAAAATGAAAATAAAAACAAAATGTGGGGCAGTCTTTATGATGATGCGGGTGGTGCCTGAGAACTAAGGCTATTATTTTTTTTAGCCTTATGTTCCTTACGTGTGGTTGTAAGCATGGTAAGTAGAATGTGATGATGGAATATGTGCCATATGAACCTGACAAGGGTGTGGAATATATTTAGAACAGAAGTTTCGCAATAGCCTATCAAATGTCTGTTGGCTGAGTTATGTTTCCTTGGCAGGAGTGACACTACTTCTGTTGTCCCCCTGCAAAAGTTGCATTCATCAAACCCTGCTTTTTTAGCCTTTCATTGGCAGGAGTGACACTACTTCTGTTGTCCCCCTGCAAAAGTTGCATTCATCAAACCCATTTTCTTTAGCCTTTCTTTGGCAGGAGTGACACTACTTCTGTTGTCCCCCTGCAAAAGTTGCATTCATCAAACCCTGCTTTTGTAGCCTCACAGATCTGATAAATGGAGGTATTGACATAACCTTATATCATGTTTATGCAGAAGTTGGTTTGCATGAGGAGGGTCTATCTGGGATGTTTCGCCACGTATTGAGGAGATAACTTCACTGGAGTATTTGGCAAGATAAATGTCTTGACCTGACCACACTTGGATATTGGGGAATGGCATTACTGTCTTTTGTTTACATATGGGTACTCACACATGGGCTTGATAAATTAACTCTTAATAACAGTCACACAGCTGCTGTGGAGGAGTTGTGACCATAGGGGATATCTGAACATGAGGTGACATTGTTGCTACCTGGGGCTGATGAATTGAAGTCACACTGCTTGTGTGTGCTATGAGTGAGTGAGGGAGTATTTTGTGTAACGCTGCAGTCTGCAATATTCCAGCAATAGGTGATATCTGGACATGAGATGACACTGTCACAGAGATCTATATAGGATTCCAACCTAAGTGCCCTTGGATGGCAAATTGAGAACAAATTGTGATATTGTTCAAAATTTGAGTTTTTTTAATGTTCTTATTTTTGTAAATTTTGGGGAATTGGGAAATTCTAAATTCAAACTGGAAATTGTTACTGTCACTTGGACATTTAGGGCTGAATATTGGCCTCTGAGCAGGTGTTGGTAAATCCCAGATTGTTGCTACCTGGGGTTGATGTATTGAAAGTCACACTACTTCTGTATGCAGTGAGAATGTTTGTTTAATGCTGCAGTCAATATTTCAGCAATATTCGAGCAGTCTGTAAACATGGTAAATTATCAAGTCTGGCCCAGGTAAACAAGTCTGAAATCATGAGCAATCATCCACACCATGACACACTCAGTCAAACCACAAACCCTGACCACCCAATCCAGTATTTATGACTAGCAATGGGGTAGCTTTGGACTTACACGAACTCAGGCATAACTGGATGTGTAAATATACTGAACAAAAAAGTGATCATGAATATATTTGGGGATATGTTTTTGTAGTGAAGACTGAGCACACAAAAATATTCATAATCCCCAATGTGTTTTGTTCAGTATATGCATGGTGTAAGGAGGGACAGTTTTTGTTCATGTCATGCAACACTAGCAACATTGTGACCCTTATGTTTTTACTATGATATCACCTCATCAAGTTACTACTCTGTGTAAGTTTATGGAGGGAGTTTATAAGAGTTTATATCACACTGAATATTATATGACATTGTTGCTTGTGTTGTGTACATTGGTGTATGGATACCTTGTTGCTATCAAACTGTTGCTCACCACTGGATCTGTTAAGAGTGCATTAAGTAATTTATTGGCAGTTTATATGATTATTTTCAAATACAGTAATGGTCTTTATGCTTAGTTATAATATTAAGAGATGAAAAATGGTCTTCAAAGATACAAAAATATAATTATGCCATACATGATATAAATGAATTGCAACTGAGATCATGGAGATATTGTCAGAACAGCTTATGTTAAGGCTTGGGCTTATATGCTACTCAAAAGAAGTTAAAGAACACTCGATTCTTTCATATTATGATAGTTAATCTTTCATGCCATGCCAGATTAACTATAGTAATATGAAAAAAATATTTTGAATAACATATATGACACAAGTAACAAATCTCCATTGTAAAACTGATTAATGTTTCATTCATTCTTTAAAATAACACATAGATTAATGTTTGACATGAAATTCCTCATTTAAACCTAGTTCACTAGATCTTCAGTTCTTATGATCTTTCATGAACTCCTTGTGATAATTGAATTGAGGCAGGTGTATGATTTATAAACAGATCTTTAAAGTTCAGATAGTTGAACAAGTCTTGACCCCAAACTTCTTGTCTGAAGGACATAGTTAGGTTCCTACTTCTCGAGGAATTTCAGGGTAAACCTCGTGGCTTAACTCACATCTATCTGTGGTGGAGGGTATCGGCATTAGTTACAGGGTTGTATGCCTTGGGGAAATCACAAGTCACCTGACCTACATTCTAAACTATGAAGAAAACTTGCATACAATTCGGCCTCTGACAATTTGCATGTAGCCAGCTTGAGAAGATGAAATGGTTTAGTCAGGGTATTCATGAATGGGCGAATCACAATACCTGGCGTGCTAAAGTTAGGGTAATTGGTACGTGTGATTATTGTTGAGTTTGTACAGAAACGTGGAAATAAGAGGTGTACTTGATACAGGGATACTGGAATGGTTTGTTGGGAGGTAATGATAGTTCATAGTTAAAGCAGCAGTCTGCCCTTTAATGTAGCTCTACCAGCTATGGTGTACATTTCTCACCAAAGCTGGACTTGTCACAGACTAATGCACAGAGGACATCAGGTTTAATAGGCAAAAGCTGATTGCTGTTTTAGATCATGCTAGGCCTGACAAATTTACTTTACAAGAAAGACAAAATTTACAATAACTTTTATTAAAATGATATATAATGCTGAATTTATCTGTGGTTTCTGTTTTCTTGTGCATGATACACACCTGTCATTTCAAGTTCTTTGCAACTGTCAGTTTAACAATATATTTTGTGAAAATGAGGTTACAAGACATGGTTATCTTTTGGGGGGGTTGGGGTAGGGGTAAGTGGTAGATGGCTAAAATTTTAAAAGTGAATCTGTTGCACAGTATCGAAGTAACAAATTGGTCTGGCCTCAATTGATTTTTTAAAAGATTTTTTATA